CTCAAACCATCGATTTTGATAATATTTTACGCATAACGCCGAACGCGAAAACCAATGTCCATCAAAATCAGTTGTTTGTAGGTGGAACACTATTAGCTGACAAACAACACCAATCCAAACTGAATGAGTTTTACGGGAAACCACATCAACAATGGCAGTTAATTTACAAAGCTACAAGAGATGGCTTTGCTGTCAGCAGTTTTCATTGTCGATGCGACGGCAAAGGCCCAACGATGGTAGTCATCCAATCCAAAAACGGCGGTTATCTGTTTGGTGGCTACACAGCTGTCCCATGGAGTTCAGATCAAAGCTTTCAAACAGACCAAACAGCATTTCTTTTCACTCTGACCAACCCAAACGATCTTCCAATAACAAAGTTTAACATTAAACAAAAAGACAGCAAATATGCTGTATATCATGATCCGCAGTGCGGACCAACATTTGGTCCTGTGACTAATTTACTTACAACGTCATCCTTTTACTCACATCTTCTCTACATTCACCTAATAGTCTTCGTTCGTCTTATTTTAACAACAAAATGATCTCACTTTCCATGCCCATAATAAAAGAATTTTCATTTTATGGAACCAATTCACTTACAACGTCATCCTTTTACTCACATCTTCTCTTCTCTACACTCACCTAATAGTCTTCGTTCTTCTTATTTTAACAACAGAATGATCTCACTTTCCTTGCCCATAATAAAAGAACTTTCATTTGGTGATAAGACCAATTCACTTACAACGTCATCCTTTTACTCACATCTTCTCTTCTCTACACTCACTTAATAGTCTTCCTTCTGCTTATTTTGACAACAAAATCATCTCACTTTCCTTGCCCACAATAAATGAACTTTCATCTGATGTTCCTGATATTTTCGTTTATACAGACAAGGGGTGTTTGATGAACTTTTGTTGCAGTGGGTTTCCTTTTAGATACGGTGATACTTTGGGTCTCAAAAGTAACACGTTTACTGGAAGCAAGAAGTGTGAAATTAACGACATTGAAATTTACCGTTTACCATGAAGGGTTAGTTTCGCCAAAGTAGTAAATGGTCTTGTGTTAAGAACGCCACCGATGACACTGTGTTTTTTGTTGTTGCGTTATTCCGTGGATGTGTAGTCTACAAACGGAAGGTCCGTCCGTAGGATGTACATGAGTGACTTCTTTGTACAGTACTACCCCTTTTTGTTGAAAAAAACTTATTTAAGTTCATTTTTTTAGAATTCTTTTAGAAAGTCTGTTCAAATTCATTTTTAAAAAAATTCATTTAAATTTATTCTACATAATGTTTCGTGAGAAAAATCTATTTAAATTCATTTCTTTCTCAATAAATCTGATTTTAGTTTTTGTAAAAGGTTAATTTGAATCTCTTTTTTGTCCAAATAAAAGATAAAATGAAATTAAACAGATTTTCTCAAAAACTAAAACCAGATTTATTGAGATGGAAATAAATTTAAATAGATTTTTCACAAAAAGTTACGCAGAATGAATTTAAATGGATCTTTTTTAAAAATTAATTTAAAAAGGTTTTTCTAAAAGAATTTTAAAAAAGTAGATTTAAATAGGTTTTTTCAAAAAAGATCGATTTAAATTGATTTTTCCATGAAAAACAATGATAAATCAAAAAAAATGGCACATTTCTTCAAAAAGTGCCCCAATGGGTTACCAGATCTCATAAGATCCATGACTCATCTCTACCATATATATATATGTTATATATACAGTATATATATATAAAATATTCCCTTTGAAAAACTTGAAACGTTTTTCTCTTTTCTACTTCACACGTCAGCTGTGCACATATGAAGTGCATGGTTAAGAAACGTGAGAAAAGACGGTACTATGACTGCCTAGGACCTGTGAATAGAGTTTTCTCTTTTAGCGTATCTTTATGTTTTTCGTGATGTCGCATGTAGATATGTGTATGTCAGACATGAGGATACATATAGAAAAGAAAAGGTGATCTAAATGCGACATCAAGAAAAAGATCAGGATACGCTAAAAGAGAAAACTCTAATGTTAGAAATTATACAAAAAACGAAAATTGCAGAGGTATATAGAGGGATTCGACAAGAAATGATCAAGCGTATGATGCTATAAGATCATATAAAATCTTTGACTTATAAGATCGCATAATTTATTACAGCTTCTTTTTGTAAGATCTTGTAATATCATACAAGGTCTTGTACATTACTATCATCATAAGAATAATCTTATAAGAATCTTGCTACAAGATATCATATTTAAGATCTTATTTAAGTTGATAAGAATTGATAAGATCTTTTGATTTCTTATCATATGGTCCTCCAAGATCGTATATGATCTTGTAAGATCTTGCATCTGATTCTTGGAGCTGGGATGGCACACATGGTTCATTTGTAAAATTGTTGTTTCGATATATTAACGATGATACATAACTATTACATAATGTGAACGTGGTGTCGTACGAAATAATTATTTTTCTTGGCAATGATTTCAATAAATCGTTAAACTGTTCAATAAATCTGTCACATTTGTATTATGACGATGTTGGATAAAAACGTTAACTGGTACGTGTAAAGTTCCTCAGAAGTTCGATCAACCATTTCTTTGTCGTCCATGCCACATCATTGTCGTTCAATAAATCGATCAACATATTCATTATCATTATTATCATTATCACATGACACTTGTACATCGGCACCACGTGAACGATCAGCCACGATCAGTGATGTGTCAAAGTTTACACAACAAGATCTCAATACCTATGTCGAACAACGACGAAGACGACCACCGATAACAGCACAAGCAGCAGCCGTCACTCAAAATTAATCAATCAAATGGATAAGTAATTAAAATAAGTTTTTATTTGTCCTCATAGGTTTATCGCATTCTCTATGACTTTTGTCTGATCGGAACGCCATATATACCTGACACGAGAGACCAATGGTGACATGAGGAACAAATGGGTTACAGCTTTCTCACTTGTTTCTTATCTTCTATAAAAGCAGAGATGGGCGAGTCCGAGTCACGACTCGACTCGGACTCGAGCCGTATTTTTCTGTGACTTGGACTCGAACTCGTACTCGAGACGAAAGACTCGAGAACCTTGATAAACTGACTCGAGCCACTTTCGCATCAGTCACGTGCGACTTTACATTATTAAGAAGATGTTGAAAAATGAATCAAGAGGGAGATTACCACTAGAAAATGACTCGAGTCAATTTTTTATGCGACTCGGACTCGAACCTGGACTCGAAGCCTGCTGACTCGGACTCGACTCGGACTTGAAAAAGTGGTAACTCGCCCATCTCTGTATAAAAGATTGTTTTCTTTAAATCCATCATTTTTTAGTTAGGTATATGCCCGATAAGGTGTAACCATGACAGTCATACATTTCTTGGAATCAAGAGGTCTCTATCTTCTCTCTCTCTCATCTACTATTTTCTTGTCATTTCTGAATGTTGCAGGAAATTAGATGAGAATTTCAGTGATCAACATTGAAATCGACAACAAATACGTCGAAGACCAACGAAACACGAACAATGGGACCAACGACGTGCACGGGATTTCAGTAAGCAGTGGTTGAAATTATTTCGGACAAAGAAAATGGTCAACAAAAGTTCATATGTACAATGGTTTCAAGATATAATCTCCTTCACGGATTTCTGAATTCTGAGTAACTCGGTGTCTTCTCTGATGCCATGCCTAAATTGTGGAGAGTGAAGGTCTCGCTTGACTTCCATTTCGAAGTGGATACTTTGAACTATCTACTCATGAAAACATCTCACCATATTTCTATTATACTTTGAAATCGATGTAAATATGAACTAAGCTACTAATAAACGAGGTTTTCAGCTGAGGCTCTAGGTAAAACTCGTATTTTAGCAACTAATTTTACTATAGATGGCGAAGTGGAATTACCAAATGATGATTTGGAAGTTGACGAAGATAATATGTTTTATGATGATGAATTTGACATAACAACTGAACAATTAAATGATACTGTTCGGAAACTGATGATATTCAAGGAGACATCCAATAGTATTGAAGAGGAAAGAAGCAACGTGCAAGACGATACATGACTGAAATCAAATATCTATTAAACCAAAAATCAAAGGAAATGTTTGCAGTTGATTATGCAAATGTGAAAATATCATGGAACGCTAATTTTGCTGCCTATTTGCAAAAATATGTGGAACCAGACATTCATCAACCTGGCAATTTTACTTTCTTATGATGAGATGATGTCGTTTTTTTTAAATTTTGAAGGTTTTTTTATAAGTGAAGTTGAAAGAGGTTTCGGTGGTAGAGATAAAAACCCGATTGGATATAATATGCTTTTTCCTTATTTGATTGTCAGTAAGATGCACGGAAAGCAAACTTGCAGAGGAATTTATATTCGAACGTATCATACACCGTTTGATAGACGACTTCAAGACGGTCAAGAATATACGTGTCTTGAGACTTTTTTCCGGTCGAAAAATTTAAAAAACTCAAAAGGTGTCAAAAACGGACATTTTTTCGTCTTTTTTGAAATTCGTCTTTTGAAATTATATTACGAGATGGAATGTTCTAACTTGTTTTTCCTGATTCAGCACTGAAAGTGAATTAGAAAATGGTCTTAGAACATTTTTAGAACAAAGCATCTATTCACAAAAAATTACGTACTGTCCATGGCTCGAAAACGCAACACAATTTTGCAAGCTTATCACAGATTTTTCTAGAGGTGTTAGAGCCAATATTTTTACATGGTTAGATCCGCTAGATGTTCAGCTTCAAAGTTACGAAAAGCTTTTCCAAAAATTCCTTTTCCTCACTGAGAAAAATCATTTTTTCTAAATCAGAGGCGAAAAAGTCGGAATTCTGTCCGTAATTCCCAATTTTCTCGATCAGAACTTTTGAGCAATAAAATATCATATTCGGAATTAGGATCAAAAACTTACGTTCGGATTAAAACTAAAGATTACTTTCTACAATTACAAAGAACATCATTTTTGTTAAATTTGTTTGATTGTTTTTCATCAAGTGAAATTGTAAACAATATTACAAGTTCTTCAAAACCAGCAGAAATTTCTAACTGAAATATAGGTTCTTTTACCGTTATATCATTCAATGGCGTGCCGTACACCGTCGATTTTAAGAATTTATTCCGAAATGAATTGCAGCTGTAATGTATTCAAACAAAATAACAAAGAAAATGGGAAAAATGTGTTTTGATCACCAAATTTATTAGCAGTGAAATGATCACCAAATCAGTTAAAGAAAATTTAAATTAAGGAAAACATGTACAAGAAGAATATATAGCAATTTAATAGCAAATTAATTAGTTTAGTTTCAGCGTTATTGCAAATTCATTAGTAGACAGGCAAGAAAAAGAATATAAAGAAAATATATACAAGAAGAAGTATGAATAGAAATATGAAAGATATATGAAATATATCAACAGCTGACGGTTTTTGAAATTCTATTGACAGCGGTTAAGTTTTTTGAGATGTTATTGGTTTTGTCAACTCACAAGAGCTATAAATAACTGCCCTAAACTACAGACGATACCATCAAAAAAATATCGAAGCAAGAATGGAAAGTATTACTCACAGCTACATCATCCGATGAAGCGAAAGAATACACAAAATTACAGTTAAATGTTTGCCAATATCGTCAATCAGATTTCAAAAACCAATAACATTTCAAAAAACTTAACCGCTGTCAATAGAATTTCAAAAACCGTCAGCTGTTGATATATTTCATATTTCTATTCATACTTCTTCTTGTATATATTTTCTTTATATTCTTTTTCTTGTCTGTCTACTAATGAATTTTCAATGACGTTGAAACTAAACTAATTAATTTGCTATTAAATTGCTATGTATTCTTCTTGTATATGTTTTCTTTAACTTAAATTTTCTTTAACTGATTTGGTGATCATTTCACTGCTAATATCTTTGGTGATCAAAAAAATTGATACCCAAAGAAAATTGTATTTATATAGTAGCTATATAAACAAAAGAAAATTTTTCAAAATTGACATTGAAACAACGAAGGCCAAATTATTCAACGATGAAAAGAGCCATATAATCAGCAGCTGGGATAAAAATGTTGGGTCGAAAAAAGCCGACATCATGGGACAAGGAAAATAAAAAGGTAAGAATAAGCTTTTTTCAACTGTTAACAGGGCATAGCGTTGATAGATCTCAACTGAAAAAAGTCTCACTCCTGAATCGAGTAGGCATGCAACGGTTACAGTAATCGTAACCGTAAATAATCGCTTTATAACAACTTACGAGGGAACATATGTAAAACTGACCAATCGTTTTTTTAATGAAATCTAGTGGAGTATAGGTAAAAAATAGTGTTGAATCCGAATATCTGCATGAGACGGGCCGCTAGGCCTTGAGAGTACCGGATTTCTGGGAAACCAGATTTCCAGAGTCAGAAACTTTTTGTTCTAAAACTTTTTTCTGATCTGTCTCGATTGTAGAGCATATCGAGAAACCTATAAAAAACTGGTTTTCAGAATTTTGGAACCCTTCCACAGTCCGCCAGACGGACTTTTCTTCTCTTTTCCGTACGCTGAGGTTTTTTGAGGGAGCAAAAACACAAAAAAAAAACAAGTGGTTTTTTCACGGTTCATCCGCACTCGAGCCCACAGCTACAGGCAAACTCCGCACTCTCCATCCCATCCCATAGGCGGCGCAAGTTAAAGTTCCTAGGGGTAGCAATAAATTTTTTAAACTCATAATTTTAACAAATAATAACAACTCCCAGAATATGTGTTATTAGGGGTAACAATAACTTTCTATTGCTACCCCTAATTTTCTATAGGGGTAGCAATTGCTACCCCTCGCTACTATGGCGCGCCGCCTATGCTCCATCCCATACACACAAATTATTAATTTACTGAGCAGACATGATAGTTACCGAACACGAAATTTTATACTGATAGTTTGTAGGCATGCAACAATCCCAAACTAGGAATCGCTGATCGGCACCAAACGGTTTGTTACCGAACATGTTCGTTCACCGAACGGTTCGCTACTGAACATGTTCGGTGCCGATCAGCGAGCCCTAGCTTGGGATGGTTGCATGCCTGATCTGGACTAAAGGCAAATTGAATGAAATTGAAGCTTTTGAAGGAACTAACCAGTGAGAAAATAGATTAACTAAAGCACAATGTGAGCGAATGTGTCTTCTACTGAATCGCTACCAAAGGTTTAAAAAAAATAGTTTGTCAAAGCTAAGAACATGAGAACGAAGAAACACAAGAAAGAAATCTTCGTAAAACAGAAAAAACGATGAAGATTACACCAAACGGAGGAGCAGCCTTG